GTACGGGATTACTGTTTAACACGCATATCGGCACGGCTATTATATAAGAAAATATTCTCTCGTTTCGCACTACGTTCGTGTGCAGCACGGAACAGGTAATCACATCAGTTTATGTGTACATGTATAAAAAGTTGCATTTATTCCTTTATTATGTTATCATACTAGTTTTGTTGTTAAAAAAAAAATATAATGTTGATGTTTTTCTACGCGCGAACTATACGCATTCTTTCGGTTTCGACCATAGTGTGTTTCGAGTTTAACGTCGGCTATACGTTGGTTTTCAATCCGAATTCACGAATAATTTTTTTTTTTTTCATTCGGCTATACAACGCAATTGACGAGTGAGGCTAAAAATATTTATTTTATTTAAAATATAAAAAATAATTAGCAACCGAACGTAAATAATTCAGTTGCGGCAACCAGTGACATCGTCGTTGTAAATAACTAGAATTCATAATCTATACATTAATATTTTATAATTGTAGTTAATATACGCGTGGAATGTTTAAAATCGTCATAGATAAATATTGGTTATTATAATGCACCTTACAATAATAACGCACATAATAAGAATCAAAACACGCTAATGTATTAAAATGTATGACAAATAGATTAACACGAAGGAAGTTCCTCGATACTACTCGAGGCGAATCATGATATTGTATTTATTCGATTACTTTACCAAAAAATGTCCCTGTACGTGCACTGGTGGTGTTATTAGTTACTTGTGATTCAGTGGTTTTTCAGGGTTATTATTTATCATTGATTATAGTTATCATAGGAAGTATACATGGCTAGAGGCCTGCTGTAGGATAGTATGATATACACAATACTACGTTCTATACGATTTTTATGCGAACATCCACGTTTTAATTAATTTCTTTTTTTTGTGGTTTCTTACATGATGTATGAGCATTGAAATATTGTTGTTATGTATTATTAGATGTACACAAGCTGAAAAGCAAAAGTGTCAAGGGTTAGCTACTGGGAAGAATTCATCAATTTCACAATGAATTAATAAATGTATTAATACCCAGGAAATTATATGCTAATTAACATAATAACCGAATTGCATGAATATGTAAATCAGTATTGAACGTATTTTAGCACTAGGCGTAGTAAAAAGAGCTAAACAAAGCACGATTGAAGAATTGCAACAGGAGCATAATGTATAATATATATATATATATAGTGTAATTGTATGTTCAACGAAAAAATGTTGAACGATAGTAAAATACCATTTAAATTAAAAAAGTTATAAGATATAATAGATTATTTAAGCATAAAAAATAATACATACTTTACAGTGTATAAACGCTGTACACTTTTTTAACCAGTATTATATGATTATGTCCTTGATGAGATGGCAATATCATTGATTCAAAACATTTCTTAAAAATATTAGGTGATATTTATCAATGTGTGTATCAAACAAGGAGTTAATATTACTTATTTGTAAGTATTTTAAGTTAAAATCAATACAATCGAATGATCAGATGTCAAGGGATATTTTGCAAATGTATGTGCATATTACTCTGCTCATTTAAACGTTTTTTACGCTCATCAAAACAGTATTTCGATCTAAAATGTTTCGTTTACTATTCCGTACCAGAGGTCTGATGGTAAAAAAATCGATGTTTGATGCATACAGTTTTCAATGTCGACCGTGTATTGAATACTTATTAAATAATGATTTACCATGCAAACTTGGTGGTTATAGTGTAATACCTATCGTACGTGATATTCATCAAAGGAATATTAACAAATCGAAACTAAAATATATACATTTTCGCAGTCATAACTGTTGTCACAACATGTTCGGAAGATTCGTTTTCTATGTATACAGCAATATATAGTGGGTTAAGGTTTTATACATATTTATATCATATTACAGTGTTAAACACGGCGTCGAATAAAGTCGTTCTCATGTTGTATCTCATGTCATCATAAATATTACTTCAATATAACAATTTACAAGTGTAGGGTTTATTATTCACCGTTACTAAATGAACTTTAACCAATTGTGGTTTTTACGTATATTATGTGAATTGACGCACTTCTCCAGTCATATATTATGTGGATGGTAATTTGCGTTCATTTTTTAGAAACAACCGAAAACGTTAAAAAGAAATGAGTAAAAACAATCATATATATTGTATTTAATGAATAATAATATAAGTAAGTTGTTTGATAGGTACATTTTAAAATGTTAGCTGATTAAAATATAATTTAAAAAACAATTTTTCAAGAAAACGCAATGAAAAGAAAAACATCTTTTGATCATTTTTGCTCGTATTTGAATTGCTCGTACTATTTTTCTATAACACGAGACTATGAGCGAATAATAGATAAATCAATTAATTTTCAATCATTTCGATCAGATTTGGCCAACAACAGTATCGTTTTCAGTTATTGATTTTATATGCATAGCGTATTGGATAGCAGTACTCAAGGAGCAGCTTTGTAGTGATTGCGAGGGGGTAAGCCTACACAATATCGATCAGTGAACGAAACAAGATAGATGTACGAACAAAATGTATCGACATGCTAATTTTGATCCTAGAAGGGCTAAACTCTCTGGACGAGGAGCATCCCTCAGCACCCCTGGGACTCGCAAGCCCTGCACACGACGTACGCGTATAGCATTTCATATAAGGACATCAACAAACAACAATAAACTCGTCGCGTACAATATAATGAATACTAACAAATAACAATCTTACACCTATTCCGCACGTAGCATACTATTTTCATAGGTCCGAGGCACATGCAAGACGTTTGTTATATTATTATAGAGCTGTGGATATTTGTGAAAAATTAAATTAACAAGTTTGCGTGAAACTATGTGCACCGTGTACGCGCGACCTTATACGTATACAATAGTAGTAGTAATAATAATAATAATAATAATAATAATAATAATAATGATATGAACGACGCGGAAATGACTGGAGAATTTTAAACACCTTGTGCCGTTTCGATTTGTCAGCAGTCCACCATACTAATTAGCGACGTACGAGTTAAATACGAATTACAAACTCGGTCTGTAGCTGTAACATGACGGATTAGATATAATATTATGATAACGACGGTCTTCAGTGCCTCGTCAAGTTCAAGTGTTTTACGATTATCGTTTTATTCTCTCTCCGCCGACCGACGACGCAGCGCTAATATTAACTTCTCGTCGCATCCGCGGAGTACGATTTCCTTATCTGCGCACACATTTGCCGCAATCACAAACTCCTTGGATTTTTATGTTCCACCGCTGCACATAATGTGAAATGAGATGAACAGAAAAAGTCCACAAAATATTACTAACAACTAGCCGCATTGCGAAGTGACATTACAACTTTATTAGCACTATACGTGTTATTTGCCATCTAATCAGCTAGTTCGTAATATGTTGTATAATTTTACTTCAAAGTCATGCGCGAATTTAATTTCAATGTTTTTTCGTTTTTTTTTTTTTTTTTTTGTATATTTCTCATGGAGATATTAATAATTTTTATCGTTTTTCAATCGCACAAACCACGAACGGCGGTCTTGTGTTGTAAACTAAGTTAATTAAAATATTCAAGTTCATATTATTAGTATTTATAATAAATGGTTATACTCCAGATGCAATATGTGCTATAGTATAACATCTGTAGGTAACGTAGTTCATAGATACTAACTTATGTTGTTTAAAAGTAATTAAAGCTTTAGCGCACTTCGCAGCAGCCATCGTTCATATTTCATATTAAAACTCTACACTCTGTGGGTACAAGAAGAAAATTTCTATGTGTCCATAAATATTTATATTTGCTGTTAGTAAAATTCAAAGCCGTTTAACGTAAAATACTTCGAGATAAATTATTTACGAAAACCATAGTAGTACATTTATTAATTATATGGCTCTTTCTTCTCTATACGTTATTGTTAAGGAATTAACTCGTATTATTAGCGACGTGTACTTTTGCCTTCCGTTTTATTATTTTTCATTATTTCAACTATAAATCAATTCGTGTATGTACGAACATCGGTTTGCGTTATACGACGAAATCACACTTATTCAGTTGGCTTAATATTCTGTATCATATTATAATAAAATATAATGAAAATTATCAGTGAATACATAAAGTGTCAACATGCGTGAAAAAAAATTGCCATTTTATAATATTTATATTACTCATATTAGTATGTTATCAAATCTATTAACAGGTATTTTAAAATATAACAAAACATTAAAAATTAATCACTTTGTGTAATTTAAGATTGTTTGTATTATTTGACTTTGGTAGGCATAGCAATATACCTATAGTTAATTAACAACCATTTTATCACGTCACGTATGTAACCATTTGATCAGCTATCAGTGTTTTATGTGTGTGAATATAATACGTGTTCATAATATGTACACGTATATTATACGTTTAGTTATTATCCGTGACGACTAAAAAGCTTCAGCAGTAATTATGAATGTATAATTATTATTTATAAAAAAATTAATTTTATTCTCTTCATTTTAAAATGGCAAAACGCAAAAATGTCATAAAACTAATTTTAATTGATAAACGTTGCTTCTTTGTCATAGAAAACATTTTAAAACATCATTCTCTTTTAGACAAACATTTCAATCATTGTATAGTATTCGATTTGTATTTACATATGTCACATGCAATATTAGTACACTTATTCGTACGATATACTATAACTGGCAATAATACTGTATAGTTGGTTTAGGGGTGATATAGGATTAAATATTTACTGTATATACCAATTATTTATCCACTAAAAACCTATGAATTCACCTTGCGTGGGCATTTTTTTAGGGTTGATAGTGTAAAAATGTTAAATGTGAGTTAAGAAAATAATAGTCCAAGCCGCCAATAGTAGGCAATACTACACTATACTGAAAATTTCTAAAGCTAAACTTTATACTAGAAAACTGAGATATAGTATATTAAGTGTAAAATTATAAACAGCGTTTGAATAATTATTTTGAATTGTTACATTTCCAGGACCATAAAGAATACATCAGGAAAAACAAGGATCCATTGACAACAAGTAACGCAAAAGAATTATCCCTATTGCAATTCCACGAAGTTGAACCACATTTGCAGTCGAATCCATATATTTTATCCGGCTATAGGGCATGTTTATCAACAAAAATGTGTATAGAAAGGTAAAAAAATTTATCTTGTATGCATTTTCTGCAATAATTAAATAAGATTATTTTCTTTCTTGCCATTATCGTGTGTCGTATTGTAATGAAAAAAGTTTAGGTACAATTGTTTAATAACTAGATACATTTTTATTCGCATTATCATCATTCATCTGATTGATTACCTTGTGCACTTCGTAAAACGCATGGGTCTATATTATAATAAGTATAATAAGAAATTAATCAATAAAAATTAAGGTTTTTAAATAGTAAAATTGAATTATTTTCATGTACTTATTATGAACAATAATGATGATTTCATGGTTAAGTCTTTGAATCGGACTTATACTATGTCGTATTATAAAAATCAGCAAGTACATCAGTGAATGATTGTTGGTTTCATATGAGCTGTACAAAAACACAAACTGTGGAATAGTACGAAGAAAAAACGATGATCAAGTATAATAATATTTTATCATCAAGAGCGCTGTGAAATGACTATTCGTCGAATAGTCTGTGAACTCAAATCGGTAATATTGGTGTAAATATAAAAAAAAAAAAAAATTAAGAAAATATGTTTGAAGAAATCCACAAATTTTTTTTACATACTTGTATAGATGTTCAATTAGAGTACCTCTGAGTATAACCTTCAGTGCATACAATTGGGCATTGCAAGTAATAAAAAATGTCAATGACCTTCAATAACTATGTGGTATTTTTTAACAACAACTATTTCCTTTTGTCTAGGATGAGCTCTATGACGGTAAAATATGTTTATTTGTTTACATTCTTTCAATTGCAAAAAAAAAAAAATTAATTCAAAAAATACCGATTATTTGCTGTAAATGTTAGAAATTGCCATCCACTAATTACTACATTTAATGATTAAATAATTAATAAACAGTACTTACAAGTTCTTAAACCGTTTTCACGTGTATACGCGAACGTGGAGAACACGCAAAAAGATAAAACATGATGCGTGAATAATCACAAAAATCACAAACATATCATTATATTTAGGCTGATATTTTAGCTATATACTATATGAATCGAAAATAACGTTTTATTAAAATTATATCTATTTTGTTCTAGCGCCTTTTGGCTGACGAACGAAACGATAAATATTTGGTCTCACGTATTCGGCTGGATGCTGTTTTTCGGCTTGACAATTTATGATTTGCTTCTGTTAAATATTCATGCTTCGTTGTTCGACAAAATTGTCGTGGGTCTACTGCTCGGATGTTTCCAGGTATTTACAAATAAATTCAATACGTATATAATTGTGTAGCATTAGGTAACCGCCAAACGATCAATACTTTGTTTTTTTGCTATATCACGAAAATTATATCTGACCAACACATGATCATAATAATATTATGATATCATCATCTACCGATATAATAATTATATAATACACGTGTTTTCAAATTTATTCTAGTAGTTTTATTAGAAAATTATATAAATATATTGATAGTATCATACGTTCTTAGCGATTACAATATATGTATTCATACATGTGTATATTATTACAACACCGAACATAATACAAGTCACACACGTATGACTGCATATATCAAACGACCTGTTTCGCTTTAATCGAATTTACCGTAAGATATAATGCATTATGATCATTTTACTGTTATTTTGTTGCGTTTTTCCAGATTAGTATGGCGTCGTCGACTATGTACCACACGTTTTCATGCAAATCGGAGAAACATTTCAACTGTTTTCTATCGTTTGATCTGTTCGGCATAGCCTTAAGCTTGTTGGCCATCTATTTGTCAGGAATCTACTACGCTTTTTGGTGTCATCCAGTAAGTGAACAACTTAACACGCGTTGACCCGCGTAAATCGTACACGGTTGCAGCAGAACGATACGTATGTAGTTGTACAGGCGCATAATACCAATCGTTTATTTATGGTATGTCACAAGTTCAGTGGAATGGCTCAAGTGTTTCGAAAAGATCCCAGAGAAGCGTCTAACGACTAACCCACTATCTATACCGGGTCGTGTAAACGTACACGATCTTAAACACCATAGATAATATATTATATCGTAAAATATATAATTTGAAATCTTAATGCAACATCATAGACGATACATTTTTGACTAAAATCGTGTTCCAATAATATACTAGTCTTTATATCTAGATTTTGCATTTTTATATTGATTTTTTTTCACTTTGTAATTATTAATTAAAAAATCAATTGTAAATGTTAGTAAATCAAACTATTTTATAGCATTTTTAAGTATTTTAGCCGTTAACGTACATTTTAACGTACTTTTTTAGGAATTTTTATAAGTTTTTTAGGGAATCAACATCTGAGCTCTACGCATGATAAAATATACTTTGCCTTAGATATTATCACTGCTCTCTACGCCATCGACTGAATAGTTTCTATTCAATGTATACAATAATATGAAGATTTTTACATTGTATACTTGCAGTGGCGTATCCAGTTTTTTTTTTTTTTTTGGGGGGGGGGGGGGAGGGGGGTTAGAAAAATGTAACATTAAATTTTTTTGAATTTTGTGTGTTTTTAATATAATCAATAGACAATAATCATACATTAAACATTTTCGGAGGAAGAGGGGGTAATAACCCTCTAATCCTCCCCCTGGATACGCCACTGAATACTTGAATATATTACATATTTAATCACAATGTTATGCGTATTAATCAACACAAGGATCTCGTATTTTCAGGTGCAACAAACATTCTATCTGTCCACGGTGTTCTTTATATTCGTTGTCGTTATGACGTTACAAATACCAAAATTGAAAGCCAGTGACAATTTGAAAATGATCTCATTCGTGTGTTGGGCAGCATACGGAGTGATACCGACGGCCCATTGGGTTGTCGTAATGGGTGGATGGGAAAATCCAATAGTTACTGTGAGTCAACAATTCATGATAACTTCATAATATTTATGTCAATTATTTAAAAAAGGGTTCGTCCGTATAACAATAATAAAATAAAATATAATAATTGTAATCTATAGAAATTTATTTGCAATGAAATGTTTTTTCTTATGCACGTGCATATGCAATCATCAGATGAAGGTTTTTTCTGCTTACTTGCAAACAGTTTTTTTTTAATAGTAATTTAACCACACAATAGATAAAATATTAATTGGTATAAGGAACTATTTTTAATTTTCTAAAATATTAGTATAGGACAATGGTAGCGTTAGTTTTCGAATAAAAAGTAATCTGTGTCGAATACATTAATCAACATTCATAGGGAGTTTCATTAGATTTTAATCACTATTGTTAACGAATGTAATGTTTAACACAATTATGTATACAGTTACAGTTAGTGTTATGAATTATTTATGAAAAAAAAAAAATTATACTGAAACATTTATCAATAATGCATAGAAAAATATAGAACATAAACCTAAAGATAATTTGAATAAATTCAATATTGAAGTTTGTCTTTCATAACCTACAAGTAATAAAGTTATAAAAACGATTTCCATAACTATAAAATAATTAAAAATATATGATAAACAAATATACATTCAAAAGGGTTGTTTTTTTGCTGGTTCGAATAAGAATAGAAACTAATTAAATATTTTTTTATGTAGGATGACTTTTGATTGTTAAGAATTTTAACAATTTTGAATTCTAAATATTTTGCATAAAATTCATAATTTTATTGTATTTATGCCTAAGATTATAATGTAATATTATACTCTTGTTAAAAATTATTTTACTGACGTGTACATTAAATTAATATGGAGTCGTCGAATGCTATTATACGGTATTATTTCCAATATAAAAAATCGAGGGTATTCAAAGTTTCTAGGCCTATTGTGTATTAACACTGATTTAGTAGCTATACAGTTTGTGGGATCATGATCAATAAATAACTTTATTGGGTGCTTATATGTTTTGTTAACTTCATATTTACCTATGTGATATACGCACACTTCTTGCGATGTAATGGACTTCCAAAATTATTTCAAATAGGTGTTTAATGATCGCATTTTCATCAAAAGTGAGTACACATGTAATTATGTATATCAATATATTTTGCGCTTTTGATCGAAACGATAAAATGCTTAATAATAATACATTATAAAACTTTCAAACTATTTCAAGTAATTTCAATTCAAATATTATAATCACAGTAATAAAAAAAAGTAGTTATATACTGAGGTTATAAACTCATATAACTCATTTCATATCATATTCTATTAAAAACAGGATGCGTACAGATTGTAATTATTACTCGTTAAAACGAATTTTTTGTACCTTATTATATTCTGTACAATAATTTAAAATGTTGTTGATACAGGAAACGATTATTTTCAAAACTTTATTTTTCAGAAATTGTTGTCAAGGATCTTAAACATGTACCTCATTTCTGGACTAGCATTTCTGATTTACATAACTAGAATGCCGGAACGGTTTTTAAAAGGTAAATATTTTGAGTGAAATAAAATATTAGCAATATGTCGGTGAGCATGTGATAAACAAAATATGCAACAAGACGGGTTGTTAAAATCGAAAAAAAAACAAAAATTACACAGCAATTATTCGGTTATAATTCGTGTACTATCAGTGCCAGTGTATTTTATGAAACTCGATAAATATTTAAACATTCAAACGTCGTTATGTTAATTGTTCCGTGCACATCACCACCGTCGTTGATCGCAAAGCCAACTATGTTAATGACCCTCTTACGACAATTTACTATACCGATCCGATGATCAAACGTCTGACCAAGTCTGACTTATTTGGAACAGCTGTCAATATCTATTTATAGAAATGTATTTTAACTTTCTTACTAACCTTCTAGGGGTGCATCATTCGGATCACGGGACCTGGTAATTATTAGTGTTTGAGCGCCTCCCCCTGCCACATGGCAACACCATAAACGATGAACTCATATCGTAAACCTAAATCTATTCCATTCCGCTACAACAGAGGGGAAAAAATTTTTGTACTATTAGACGACATTTTAACGATTGTTTTAATATGTTGTCGTCTTCAGATTAAAAACTATCTATCAGTTTTTTTTTATATCGAGCTCTATACGTTTATAATTGCCGAAATTTTAAAACACACGTAGGAAATTATGTGCACATTACTTTTATTCCCGGGAGAGGTTATTTTGTCGGTTACGAGAACTGTAAGATATGGCAAGCAAAAATTCAAAGACATTTTAATCCAATTTTAAGTTTATACACCATTATTTGCGAAATACTTCAGTTATTTCTAGAAACCTATATTATGTATGATGAATCATCATTGATGATGTATAGACAGTGCCGCAAAAACTGGGTGTGCAGAGCATGCCATGCACACGGGCCCCAAGGCTTACATAAATTTGGGGGGCCCTAGTCCCATTCTGAAATAAACTACACTTTACAAACACACAATTATTTATTAATAAAAATAATTTTTTTTTTCAAATTCAGGTAAGGTTGTTATAATATTTTAGAATAATATAATATTTATTTGACAATGAGTCCATTGAGTATTTGAGTAGGCATACAACATGTCTACCTAAACTACTAAAATTAATTTACTACATAAATATATAGTGAAGTATAATATACAACAGTTATAGGTATTTAGTTTAATATATATAAATATATCATACAATAACTGATGTGAAACGTGTTTTAAAACCTAAAAAAAGTGATACTTAAATTGAACAAAAATAAATCCTAGGAAGGGGCCCAATATAGTTACCGCACACGGGCCTCCTATTTTGTAGTTGCGGCACTGTGTATCACCGTATGTAATTTGATTATGATCGTACAATGTGTATTCTGACTCTATAGTCAGATTAGTATATTGGACAACTGAACAATATAGTCGTTTACAAATATATATTTTAGATACATTCTACAAAGTTTGCATACAAACGAATATAGAATACATTGAACGAAACTATAAAATACATTCATCCGCTTAATTTAAAACTTCTTATTTTATTTGCAATATTATTTTTAATAACAAATCATTTTTTTTTTCTAGGTAAAGTAGATTACATTGGATCATCTCATCAATGGTGGCATTTTCTAGTCGTATTAGCGTTGTACTATTGGCACAACACTGGCATCATGTATATCGAGTACAGGATGAACCACGGATGTGTTAACGATTTACGATTATGATATTCAAATGTCGTTGTTTTATAAACAAAATATTTATTATTATTATTTTATAATTAAATTATTTTTAATTTTAGTCTGTTTGTTATTACTTAACGATATACCGAATATATGTTGTACATTATTTTTTTCAGAACATAACACTATTGTGTTAAATACATTTTCAACAATAAAATGTTATCGATTGAAAACGGAACAATCTTAATTATTTCACATAATCATTATATTCACACACATATCGTTTATAATAATATTTTATATTTTAATGTAATGCAGCGAAAATAATATTGTTAGTTGATAACATCATCACTTAATTGTAAATGTATAATCAGAACCATATTTAAAGAGTGGTTCAAGGAGGAAATATCCCCCCTGAAATATTTAAGGAGATGGCAATATTTTTATGGTGATTTTAAATAAAACCAACGATTTTTGCATTCTCAATGGAAAATTATTTTTGAATAAATAAAATTATGTAAAAAATAAATATTATATTATAAAATAATTTATATTATTTAGTAGCGTACAAAATTTATATCTATTTGAGAGTATTTTATTTGAGTTATAGGTTTTTGTATTCAGTTATAGGTATTGGTTTAATCTTAATTTCTATGGGAATGGGGCATTCTGACAGAAAAGTTCTAAATTATTTAAGGGTACCACATCAGACTTATAAAAGACAATTTTCTATAACTTTATTTATGTAATTATAACTCAGTTATTATTTTGGATTGAATATTAATTATAAATATTGTGTAACAGTGTAATGAAATGTGAAAAATAATTGCGAGTGGCTTATTAATGAATAGTTGAAGACACTTATTTTCGGTTGCCCTATGTATAATTCATTGAATTTATTTAAAAAATACTGTTAATCATGTGCATAAAAATAAAATACAGACGATAATATTTAATGCTAGATAAAGTGCTATTTCTCAAATAATTTATAAAATAATTAAAATGACGTTAAATTGTTTTTATAGTCTCTAAATAAAATATGTTGGAAAAAACGATTAATAAATACTCAATTCAGCAAGATACTTTAATTGTGTTTCACGTGTTCCCAAAAAATAAATTGATGCTAATTGTATGAGTTGCTTAATTAAAAGACATCGTTCACTTAGTTGAATTATTCATTAATATTGCAATAATGTTGTTGACCTAAATTATAATGCATACAAATCATCTACACTTATTTATCAGAAAATATTTTTTTGTTTCAAAGTTATATTGTAAACTTAATACTTACTGTTGTTTTAATATTGAGTCAATTGGTTGTAGTTGTAAGATAAAAAAATTAAAATACATTTTCAGTGCTTTTCAGTGCTATGGTAAAGGACTACAGAAATTTTTTGTTAAACCAGCTATATTTTTATTTTTATTGATTATTTATTAAAGTAACTAAAGTATGTATTTTAATAGATTTAGAATTATATGCCCTTACGCAATTATGTATGAGTTATATAAGTACACTTAGATTCACAAGTGAAACTAAGGCCTCAACTAAATCATACATGACTAAGTTTCATTCAAGTTTTAAATAAACACAAAAATAATATAGAAGTTAAACTGATTTTTATATCTTACTATTAACAGTATTAAAATATGAGGTAAAGCAAAATCTTCATTCAGGTTAATTGTTAATGTAATGTTTTGATAATAAATTTAATATCGAAGAATAGAAACTAACGATTTTATTGATTTTACTTAACTTACTTCAAGGTTTAAATGTATTATAGCTGTACGATATGTAAAAATAAAGCCTACGTATGTCGAGAAAAATTTAACATTTTTTGTGTATTTTATTATCAAATACCGATACATTTCTTATGGAACTTGGCGCGTGATGTCAGCCACCAAGATTTCAACATATTTTTCTGGTTTATCTATTAAATTATTGTTATTATAGTAACGAATATATAATATATTGGCCTCCACGAACGATATAGGGACTCGGTAAAAGTGTTACTAGAGAATTATTAAAATTTCTGTTAATACTCGTAATAATATTGCACTTATTAAGAATGTTGAAAATAAATAAACAAGCAAATATTTAACATTTATTTTAAATGAACATTAGCCAGCAGCGTTGTTCGCGGACAATCGTCGGGCAATATAATTAATGGTATTTTCAATGCACAAGATAGTAATACGAGTACAATCAATAATATTCGTTTTTGTAATATAACACATTTGTACAGGGTCATACGTTTATCTTGTACATAACGTGGCGCCGGAAAGTTGAAAGTCGGCAATGCGTATTATTTGTACATAAAAATATGTAATTATTCTACAACATTCATGCGAAAATATTTATTTACATTTTTACTATTGATGTAAAAATGTTATATGATAAAAAATATTCACGTGGTGTGTAAAATGAAAAAAAATGAAGTAAGTAGTGCAAACGTTTAAAACCGCGTGAAAATAATGGATACTGTGCGGTAGTTTAAGTATAAAACGAAAAACAAAAACAGATTTTCGAAAACTTTTATAACAAGATGTAATGGCAGTAAGGTGTGTGTGTGTGTGTGTGTGTGTGTGTGTGTGTGTGTGTGTATGTGTTTGCGCGCGCGCATTTGCGTGTATGAATGCTTGCGCGCGCGCGCGCGTGTGTGTGTACGTATATTTATAGTCTTATAGGTGCCTGGTGTATTTTTTTTTATGTACGTAAAGCACTCTAGTGGTTTTTACCTCTCGCGTGGAGTACTTATACCCCCCCCCCCTTCAATAAGTGCTTATTTTTTTTATATATGTATTTTTTAACCATCTTCGGTTGTACGACCACATGTGGGGGTTAGGTGGTGAGTAAATCGTAAAAATGAATACAAATTTCAATAAGAGAATAACGCGCTGCATTATGTGATAATACTAAGTATGCGAAATATGTAAGCAATTTAATAGCGACGGCTGCCCTTACGACGATATTTTTGAATTGTATTACAGTATTACCGTGATACATTTTATACTGTTATTTTGAATCGTTCAAAAACCTATGATTAGTTTTAAATAGTTAGTATAGTATATTTGAATAGTACTCGGATTAGTCCATAGTTGCTATGTTTAACTAGATATGATGAATTATATTTATTCTTCCGTATTATTGATTAAAAATTACATAGTTTTAGAAAACATTCCATTGAATACGAGTATATTCTTACCTGATCTATTACCTAGAGTGCCATTTTCGTGACTGTGTTGAGATTACTCAAAAATGGTTAGACAACTTACAGAATTTGAATGTGAAAAAAAAATCGAGATGTCGAGATGAAGTATTCACCGTATTAAATACGGCGCAGGTCGAAAGTGGCGAATCAGTTATGATTCAACGTAATCGATCGAGGATTCTTGAATTGTTTGTAAGGTTCAAATAATAGTCATCGGATGATACGCAATTCGATTGCGCGTGAACTCTACTGCTTAAAATTATTAGAAATAATACATTTCGATATTCGCACTTGGTAGAGACCTTTGTAATATCGTACTACATTCGTTGTCTGGTGCTCAATAGTTCTTTAACTATTTCCAGTACAACTGATACATTTATATAAGAAAAACCCAATTTTTTTTTACTATACCATTTTTTTAACAGTATTTCTATCTAAAGTGCGATAAAGCAATAATTTTGAAAAAGTTCCATTTTTTTCCGCTAAATTATTCGTTCGGCTCGTCGTAGACGTTCGTAATAAAAACGTCTGGTTCGGTTGTACACGGACGTACCTGTGTACATAGTACGGCATAAATGTATCGTACTGCATTATTTGATTGAAAATGTTTCGCGAGGCGTTCCGATTACCAACCGCCGTACTTACCGTATACCGCGTACCGCGACGTGCCCCCCCTAAAAATCTCGTGTTGCGTAAACTACTATACGCACGCACCTGCACACGCGGTACGCACCACCGACAGACTTGTACATTGAACAATATAACGCGTTTACAGGATCCCCCCACTCTCATCCACGCCAACACATGTACATAATATATGCACGTGCATTATATTCTAATTATAAGGATAACCCGCGTTTCGAGACTTGCGACCGGGCATCCGCCACCGGTACCGGCGTTATCGGCGCTCGCGCTCCGGAGAGCGTTTACGACGCGTACACACGTACCGGCGGCGGCGGCGAGCTTCTCGAAGGGAAAACCGCCTCTGCAGTAACTATAGTAACACCCCTCGTATTGAATCCAATTTCTGTTCGGCCGGTTTTATCTCCTAAGCTACCCGTCGCCCTTCCGTGCCCACCCCTGCCCGTCATCCCTCCCAACTTTTGCACGCCGACCCCCGAAGCCCCGACCTACAACGCGCGCGCACACATTACGTATACGCACGCACGCACGCACGTACTTGTGCACCCAACTCCACACGAACACAGAAATTCACGCACGCACGGTACACCCGAAACGCCATTTTGTCTTCTGCTGCGCGCCGTTTCCTCTCCCTTAACCGGTGGCTGTGCGGGGTCCCTCTTCCGACGCGACGTATACAAATATATATTTATATATTATTATTATTTTTTATTTTTCGCCGCCGCGTCTTTTCCCGAAATGATTACCTCCTTTTCCTCCATTTCTCGTCCCCCCCACCTATTCACCGCGACCATTTCTTTTTTTTTTCTCGTACTTTTTCCCATTATTTTTTCCACCCGAGAGCCTGCAGTCTTTCGCAGCCAGTTTATATTTCGTTATTTTCTTGACTTCTGTGGGTTGTCCTGGATTTTCGAACAATCAATTCTGTGGACGAAGGGCGGGGAAGAACGGCGATAAAAAATAAAAAAGCAACAACAACAAAAATAACCACGAAGTATGTTTAATGTTATGTGTTTTCACATAGAAAACATACGACCACGTCATAAACCCTAGTGTGTTACGTAGCGTACACATCTGACATTGTTTATTATAATAATATGTTTATATTATTTTATCTTACCAGGTGTGATTGAACAAAACTCCATAATAACATGTCGATTTGATCGACATTGATAATATTAGTATTATTAAACTCACTGGTGTGATTCGATCAAAAGCCTTTCCGGTGGGTTTGTGTTCGCATCAATGTTTGTAAATAATATAATGA